GGGTCGAGGGGGTGGGGGGCAAGACCCAGGGAGAATTATTAAAATGTGTGGGCAGGGAAACACACGAGTAGGGAAAAAGTGTGTGGGGGGAGGGGGGAGGGACAAGACCCAGGGAGAAAAAAAAATGTGGGGGATAGGGTAGGAACATGGTCATGGGCAGGTGGACGGTTCAGCGTCAGGGAGAGCTGGGAAACAGGGGAGGTCAGCACACGTCATCATGTCTGAGCTCATCGGGCTTAACAAGTTACTGAGGTCTGTTTTAGTGTGAGCTCAGGGAGGTTTATAAAGCAACATAATATGAATTATAGAGACGTCATACATTGGGAGGCTGGCGTTATCGCCACTGGTTCTTACTGCCTTATCCTAACACAATGCATGTCATGCAGTTGTACATTTATTGCAATGATCAGTACTGACCTTACATAATACACATATTTATTGTACAGTTATTATGATCAGTAGGCCTATTGATCAAACATTCAGCTGTCTCTTCTCATGTTGTTTCTGGGCTTTGCCTTATACACTTGAACGGATTGGATCTCTGTCGCCTCAAAAATAAACGTGTTTGTTTTCAGTTTCAGGCGATGGAATCGGCCCGATCCGGCCGTACTGTCACCCCGTATAAGATCACACGATCATCCCCTCCCCCACCATATACATCTTTATGTGAATCTACCCGACATAACACTGAGGCTAGATCTGTGTTATGTCATAATATGTTAGACTCTGAACTCTGCACAAATTAGCCTACATAAATTATAAATCTACCCGACTCAAAACCGTGGGTAGATATAGATCTCTGTGCGAATCTACCCAGCATAACACCTAGTATAGATAAATCTGTGTCATATTACATGTATGTCTGGGCTCTATACAAACAGGCCTACATGACTACATGTAAATCTACCCGACAAAGCAGTGGGGACAGATAGATCAATGTGTGAATCTACCCGACATATCTCCAGGTATAGATAGACATAAATCTATGTCATCTTATGTCATATTTGAGTCTGGGCTCAACACAAATTCGCCTACATGACTACAGGTAAATTATCTACCCGACATAGCACTGGGAATAGAATAGATAGATCAATGTGCGAATCTACCCGGCAAAGCACTGGGAATGGATATATCTTTGTCATGTTATGTCATATTTGACTCTGAGCTCAACACAAATTGGCCTATATAACTACATGTAAAACTACCAGACATAGCACTGGGGATAGATATATCAATGTGTGAATCTACCCGACATATCATCGGGTTTAGATAGACATAAATTTAGATCTATGTCATCTTATGTCATATTTGACCCCGGACTCGACACAAATTGGCCAACATGACTACCTGTAAATCTACCCGATATAGCACTGGAGATACATAGATCAATGTGTGAATCTACCCGACATAGCACCGAGGGGATATATGGATCTCCGAGTGTTCAGACAGGTCCTAGCCCAAAGCCCGCCCCTCACCTCCTCCTCAGCCAGTCGGGTGGCGGGTAGCGAGACGCACCCCACAGCTCACAATGCTCACCCACAGAGCGTCCTTCCTTCCTTCCTTCCCCGTGCACGTGCTTCAGACTACCGTGCATGCAGCGAGTAGGGGAGGCTTCTCTCTCCGCCATGCTGCTAGTTGCTAGGTGGCGTGAGTGTGAGTGTGTGTATGGGGGAGAAAGGGGGGGGGAGAGAGAGAGAGAGAGAACGCGCTAGTGGGTTGGGGAGGGGGACACAACATTGGCTTTGATTTCTGGAAGCGCGGCTGAGTACATCATGTACGTGTGCTGTGCATCTTGCTGAAGAAATCTCCGTCTGTTTTCCCGCCAATCTCTGGCTCATCACTCTCGTGATCGCAACCGACATGACTTTGAAGACCACTGGACTCGATCTCTGCGTAGCGACTTAGTCGGGAACAAAATGACCTCATCGTCAGCACACAAGTGCTTAAGTCATTCTTTCGTTGAGAAAACTTGAACAAAAATAAACCTGTGCTTACCTAAAGTCTATCTCATAGCTTGAGCGAAAAAGGAAAATATCTCGATAATAATTGTGACCCGACGCAGTGGAATGAGGCGCTCATCAATTTTAGGGCACGTGGAGTTATTAGTTTAATCTTAAAGCTTCTTAATTTGGATTGATTTAAATAGGAACAAAATCATCAAATCATCATCCAGTTCCAGATCTGCGACAGACATCGGCGATCATGGTTCTCCATTCATTCCTTTGCTCAGATGCTCTGAAAAAAAAGCCACGTTTCCCTGATCTTTCCCTGTTACCCATTTGTTTAGGTTCCCCAAGTATGTTGATCTGGGCCTTCCCCTGCCTCGCTTGCCCTCAGTTATGCCAGTGAGAGCTAGATGTTCAAGACCCTGTCGTAAGTCTATTTATGTGTCCCAAAAACTGCATTTGTCGTTTCCTGATTGTTTTTAAAAAGAAATACATGTATAACTTGAATAGAAGTCTATCTCATGGCTTGAGCAAAAGGGAAAATATCTCGATAATAATTGTGTCACGACGCAGTGGAATGAGGCGCTCATCAATTTTAGGACACATGATGGAGTTATCGGTAGGGGCCTACAACCTTAAAGCTTCTTTATTTGGATTGATTTAATTGTGAAAAATACTCATATATTATTATATATAACTTGAATAGAAGTCGAGATATTTTTTTAAAAATTGCGATGTAAAGAGGTGGCGGTCGCCTAGTTTCAGAGGTAAAATTAGTTTAAAAAAATGACTCGCCAAAGCTTTGTGACTTCCAAAGCTTGAGTGTCCTAGGAAACTGCAAATTCACAATATTTGTCCCTTTCGTCAACGGTTTTCAGTAAAAACCAACACATACATGTGTTTTTAAGTGGATATAAAGGTGTTACCCCCCCAAAAAAAACAACAACAACAACAACAAAACAAAGCAAATAACAACCACAAAAAACAGCAACCAACCAACCGACCAACAACAACAAACAAACAAACAAACAAACAAACAAACAAACAAACAAACAAACAAACAAACAAACAAACAAACAAACAAAATGCAAAAAAAATTGGCGAAAAAAGTCGGTTTCTTCCAATTATTATTTTTGACTAGCGTCTGAATTCACTACGATGCAACGCAATACAAACTTCCTCATGCTGTACAGATCAGAAACAAGTACATGTTACAGGCATTAACAAAATCATACCAATAAGAAGAAACATCGACAAAATGACGTAATATGTATTTGCGTTACTTTTACTTCAATGACGATAAAACAAAAACACTTCAGTGCTCGGTGCTCATTTGATACGTCTTAAAAAATAAAGTACTATGTGTTTTGTCTTGCTTTTTTCGTCGGCAAGCTGTTCAAAATGTAGATCTACTAAATCCACAAAGTAACAAAATTCAAGAGAGAGAGAGAGAGAGAGAGAG